GGTGAATGTATCATCTTCCATGAGGAAGCAGAAGCAAAAGAAGTTGACATTCCTCTGGGATGAATTACTCACCAAGCTAGGTTGAATCTTTTTCACTCTGTCCTGAGAGAGTATGAAGGATGGATTTGCCTGGGGATGATGATGAACATTGATCCAGTGGGTCAAATGATGTAGGTACCATAGTGAATGAAGCCCTCCAAGCCAATGGAGTGGAAGTACTGCGAATTAGGATTGACCAGTGTCCCAGCACATTCACAGTAGGTTTATGAATGGACTGTTATGAAGGTAGAAGATGGAGGCTCGGCTTGAGCCCCCACAGCTTGGGCTTCCTCACTCCAAGACTGATTAGCTACTGAAGCTGAATGTCAGCTCTGTCAGCTCAATGACACCAAATTCCTTGAGCAGGTCAGCAAGATGTTGTGGCAAATCTGTTAGGAAGGACAGTACCTCTCTCATGAGGGGTAGAGGAGAGATGCCTGTTCCCTGAGGTTGATAATATGCTGGTACGAATTTGTCTTTCCTGCCCACAAGACGTTGACCATCACACTGTCCAAGGACTCAGGGTGTCTGACTCACTGACATGGAGTCATACACAATACCTCCGTGGGCTAATGACTCCTTTTATGGCAAAGGATATAAGAGCAGTGTGTGCGAGGTTCATGGATTTTTACTCCATGTCACGTCACTCAGATTGGGAATATAGCTTTGTTTTTATTTTTTTGGTGGTACTAGAGTAGGAACTCAGGGCCATGTGCTTTCTAGGCAGTCACTCTACCACTCAAGCCCATTTTTTTTTACTTGGATATCACACTTTTGCTAGTCTGAGTTGAACTACAATCTTACATTATGCCTCTCCTATGCTGGGGTGACAGATGTGTACCAGCATATTCAACTTCTAAAAAAATTATTGTTAACGTTTTTTTCCTAGGCTGGCCTGGAACTGTGATGAGTAGCTAGGATTATAGATGTGAACCACTGTGCCCTACCAGAAAAAACCTAATATATCAGGTTTATATGCACTTGTGGATGAAGGGGATACTATGGGATGCAAAAGACTTAAAATTCACACTATTCCATGTGCTGTATCCTTAGAAGGCAAAAAACTTGGTTCAGGAGGTAGATATGGCTTTGTTCAATTGTTTCTATCATCCTCATTTCTGCCATTATGACTGTCAGGGATTTGTACTTTTTGTCCATATCATTTGAGATAATGTGGTTCTCAGAGGTGTGGCTATTTCCACCAGAAATGCAGTGAAAATCTATTAGTGAGCTTTCTGTCACTAGACTACAGTATCTGAAGCAATCAACTTACAAAAACATTTGGCCCACAGTTTGACTCACAGTTTTAGAGGCTCCAGCCTGTGCCCAGTTGGCTTTGTTGCTTTGGGCTATGGCGGGACAGCTCAGCATGGTGGGAGCAATGTGGCAGTGACAAACTACTCGCCTCATGGCCATAAACAAGAGGGAGGAGAGTAGGAGGCTGGAGGCTGTAAGAGAGAAAACCCCTGATGACACAAGGACTTTCCACTGAACCCCATCTCTTAAAGATCTCACCCATGTCCACCTTGAGCATCAAGTCTTTAACACATAGGCCTTTGGTGGTCAGCCAAGATCCAAATGATAGGTGCTATCAGAATAGCTGCTTCTCTGCTTCCTTTGGTCTCCTTATGGCAGTAGGCAACAAGACAGAAAATTCTGCCACACCGGGGGAGCACTTGATCCTGATCATCAAGAGAAAGCTGGACTTCTACTCAGGATGGGGGACAGGCAGGCATGTGTTTGTCATTTTGGTAAACCTCTAGGATGGCTCTCAGACTTAGTTGAAACTGCAATTGGGAACATGTAGTAAACATGGTCGCTCTGATTGGAGAGGGGAAAGAAGGCTCAGATCCCATGTAAAAATCACACAGAGCCATAGCAGTACGGTGCCCAGCAGGATGGGAATTTAGGATGCGTGGATGCTATGGTTTGAATGTATTCCCCAAAAGTGCATGTGTTGGAAACTTAATCTTAAAATTAATGCCATATCTTAATGGCTTTTGGAGATAGGTTGGGGGGAGGTTACTGGGATTAGATAAACTCATGAGGGTTGTGCCATATAGTGGCATTCCTGGATTTATAAGATGAGGAAGAGGAATATAATTTAGCATATGACTCTGTCTTTGTTCTCTGCCTGGTGTAATGCAGCAGGGGCTCTCACTAGATGTAAGAACCATACTCTTGCGCTTCCCAGCCTCTGGCACCATGAACTAAAGAAGCCTGCATTTTTAAAAGATCTTAGCTTTCTTTCAGCAATAGAAAACAGACAATGACAGTGGTAGATCAGAGCAGGGATGACAATCGGTGATTGCCTTAGGACCTGCTGAGGCAGAGAGGGCTTCTCAATAGTAATTATCTTGTAAGTTCTGATAGGAATTGTGGCACAGGATCCTGGGGAAGCCACACCTGGCTGGAGTTAACTCAATGAGAGGAGCAAGTAGAATTGAACAGTGCAAGGTGGGCACTGTATGCAGTTTGTGCTTTTTGCATCCGTGTTCCTGGGCTGAGATCCCCAGCTGCTTGTGTGTCAGCAGTTAACAGCTATCAGCTATCTCCTTCACACCCAAGTTGCATTCAGCAGATGGGTACAGCTTTAGCCAGAAAATTCACATTGTCCCTCCAGGTTAGGAGGCCTAGAGTCAATCACTGCCACGATTGACTGCTGTGGGAGTATAAAAGAACACACCCCTTGCATCAAGTGCTGGTAGTGGGGATCACGCTGCAGTTGTGTTTTTATTTCACAGCTCCTTCCTGCCCCATAATAGATCAGACCAAAGCTAGACTCTTCTGGAGACAGGAATCTTGTTCAGCTTTCTCCCAGCTCCTGCTACCTTTGCTCATTCTCTCATTTGTTGGTTCTTTCCATAAGGCATTTCCTCAGTGAATCCTGTGCACCTGGCTATGCAACTGTTGCTCTGGCCTTCTCTCCCCTTTGTCCTCTGGCCTATGGAGAAGGCATTACTTTAATTATCCCATGAACAAATAATATATACCTTGGTGAGAGGAGTTACTGGATGGGAGAACTGAAGGGGTCCATAGAGGGCAAAATCTACTCAGAAGCATCTCTTGTGTTGTATCTCTTCTGTTTTCTTATTGATACATAATGAATACACAGAAAGTGCACTGAGATGTAGAGCTTGCTGAATTTTCACAGGAACACTGTAGGAGGGGAGAAAATGGGTTGCAAGAGGCATATAGTCTTCTGCAGCTCAGGCCAGAAATGACCATGACATTCCCACTGCACCTTTGTAGCCCAGAGCATGTCATATGGCCTACAAATGAGGAATCAGGCATGGGTGAGATTAGGAGTCTCTATAGAAATAGATAGAAACTTGGAGTTTTCTTTTTTCTTTTCTAGTATTAGACTTTGTTTACTAGGCATTTGTATTCTTCTGTATATCAGTTTTTCTCCTTTTCACAGTCCTGGTGGCCATCTCAACCATCCCAACCCAGTACAGAAGAGGAGAGACTTTCTGTCCTGAATGTTTGTTCCAATGGTAAATTCTGATTTGGCCTAAATTTAATGCACCACTAAATCATATTAAAATCACCTTTATTACAATTAGATGTTCAGTTTGGAAAAAAATGGTAGTTAATAAGCTTTCTATTGGGAATATCTTTGCCATTTTTAACAAACTGCAGTGAAAATTTGCACATTGATATGGGCTGTTGGACAAAAGATTATACTGAGAGAAGCATATAACTCAGAGCAGCACTGATAACACTGAAATAATGTAAAAATAATTACAGACCTTTTGATATTGATGTAAATTTTCATAATGACTCCCATTACTGGCTGTGGGGGCACCTTTTATAATGACTTCTTTTTTGGGGACTTAGTAATGTCCTTAGAAATGCCCAAGATACTGAGTTTCTATTTATAAATATGGACCTCTAAGACGTAACAATAATAATCCTGTATTATTCTGTGAACAAAATTCTGCTGAATTCACAGACAGGTGACATCATGTGAGCACTAATGTATAAGGAGTACTCTGTTGTAACAAGACTACTATTATCTTCAGTACAATAATGCTGAATTTGCTTGGGATGTACAGGGAGGTGCTATTAGCTATGACAGGAGTTAACTCTTTGGGGTCCTATGTAGGCATCTTCAGACAACATTGCCAATGATTTTTAACCTCAGAATCCCAATTCTTGTCATGGATTTAATTTAATTTTCCTCTATGCTTCTTTTGTCCTTGTATATTTTGCATTCTAATTCTTCTTCATACAGAAATGAATATTTGTCCATTTGTCCATGTGTCCATCTCTTCCTTTACTCTGTCTAGGAGTTTCATCCTGATGCTCTACCTGTGTACCCTGTCCTGTCTCCTTGACTATACAGACTCTATATGGCCAGGCCATTTATCTAAATTGACGCATTCTCCAAATGACAATCACTGCTCCTGGCTAAAAACAGACACCAAACATCACCGGGGATTTTACTTGGATGCAGTGGGCTGGTTCAACAGATGGCTTTGTGGGTAGGAGAAAAGCTCTAATTTTTCTTGTCCCAGATTAGAGTCACGAGCACACAAGAGCCATTCATGCATATATAAGGTGATGTCCCCACGCACAGGCCCCCAGATCATGTGCAGTGTTCTCAGACCAGTTTTACTTTCCTTCAGTGCCTGACTACCGATCCACTTTGGGTATTTTCTGGGGGACCATGAAGGCACTGATTCATTTGTCTTTACCTCATGATTGGTCTTCTCCCTTACCTTCAGTGACTGTCTGTGGACTACCACCCAGCAAAATGTCAGGGAAGAACTCAAGATGGAGAGACTACTTCCTGTGTGGGTAGCTATTTCTGTCAACTGAAAAGGCCATTTAGGCAAAATACTTAGTTACCTTTCCTCTTTCCTGCAGCCCCTGAGAAAGTATGCGTGGGCCGGATAATGAGTGACAGCTCAGTAGGATAGGATTTTCACCTATCTGAGGGCTGACCTTCTCCTGTCCCATCATGCAGTGGTGTGGAATGAGCCAAGGGCTAGTGTACCACGCTTCTCTACAGCATGGTGTTACTATCTTCTGTGTATTGTTGCAGATGCCTAGAGCATGAGTGAGCTTCTAATTTACATGTAAGGTAAGTTTCTGATTGCCAAATCCTGGACATGGAGGCTACTTCCAACTATCTGGTGGTATGTAAAACTTGACAGCCCAAATGTTTGGACAGCTTGTTCAAATCCTTTGGGCCTCAGTCTTTTACTTTTTTGAAATGTATTTTTATTATCTTTAAGTAGTTGTACAAAGGAGTTGCCATTCAATGAAGTGTTTTATGAATGCAATGCATTGTGATCAGTATCACCTCTACATCCTTCCCAACTCCACTCCTCCCTCAATTTTATTAATTTTGTAGTATATACAATGACTTTTATAAATTCATTCTCCTCATTTACTCTCTTCATTTGTCTATACCTCTTTCCTTGACCCCTCCCACTTTGAGTACCCATTTCCTGGTGGTTATTTTGTTGGACTGGGAGTTACATTGGACTCTCCAATATTTTATGTATACATAATACACTTGTATGCTTGCATGCCACCCCAAAGCATTGATTTTTTTCCAAGTCTTTCCATTTCTTTGCAAATGATCCAATATCATTCTTTCTAATAAATGAGTAAATTTCCCTATACAATACATTTGCTTGATTTGTTTATCCATTGAGGGACCTCTGAGCTGATTCCATACTTTGGCTATAGTGAATAATGCTGCTGAACTCAGGGCCTGGGAACTATCACAGTTCATTTGCTCAAGCACTCTCCCGAGTCACAGCTCCACTTCAGGCTTTTTGGTAGTGGACTGGAGATAAGAGTCTCATGGATTTTGCTGCTCAGAGTTCCTTTCAAGCCTCAATTCTTAGACCTCAGCCTCCCAAATAGCTAGAATCACAGGCATGAGTAACTGACACCCAGTTTTGTATCCTAATTTGTAATCTTTTGGATAAATGCCCAGAAGTAGAATTGTAGATCATAGGATAGTTCTATGTTTAGTTTTTGAGGAACTTCCATACTGCTTTCCAGAGTGAACAAGTTTGCACTCCCACCAATAGTGTACTCGAGTTTCTTTCTACCCACATTGATACCAGCATGTGTTATTTGTACTCTTGATGATGGGCACTCTAACTTGGGTGAGATGGAATCTCAATGTTTTGATTTGCATTTCTTTTCTGTGGGCTTCAGTTTTGTAAGATTCCTCGGATGAGGAATCGGAAGTTGAGGGTCTCTAAGGTTTCTTTAAATTTCATGATGCTGAAAAATTGCTATAAGTGCATGAGTTGGAGGATGGTGTCAACTGGAGGCTGGGGCCTGGTTGCAGCTGCAGGACTTGTGTGGTTCTGTCGTTCCCACCTCTGAGCCTCTCAGAGTTGGATCTCCTGCAGTTGCCAGGCCATGCCTACAGACAACAGTTTGTTAAATAAGTGTAATGAAGAGCAAGGTGATATAGGACTGACCCAATGGGGAGCTCAGCATCATCCTGGCACTCACACCAGCCTGTCTGAAGAGGACCACAGATTTCTGCCTCCGTGTGTTAGCTCACTGGGCATTGGGTTAGGGCCTCCATCAATTTTAACTTCAGAAGCTTCTATAATTTGTTTGTTCTCAATTGACCTGTTCAGCTCTAGCATTGGCCCTCTGTACCAGCCTAGAAGATTGTAGCTACATAGCTTATATCTGCCGCTGCAGCCAGACCACTTCCTCCCTCACCCCACATGGGGATGTACAGCTACCTCCCACTGTGCCCCTGCTCATGACTGGAATGTGGTCTCCCATCCCTGTCTCATTTGTCTCCTGGGGCCTGGCCTTGCTTTACTAGCCAAACATTGCCATCTGGCCATAGACAGGTGACTCTGTTCTGCCTCCTGGTCTCTGTCTAGGAGGCCTCAGATGAAGGGGACTCCGAGGGGAATTGAAGGACACCACATCTTGTAGGAGTCCGATCTGCAGATGGAGAAAATCACCTTACTTCATTCACCAAATCATCAAGAGGTTATTACTAACTGGCCATAAACAAAAAACCACTTCCTCTTGTGGAGTTAGTGCTGGGAAAACAAAGATGAGGTCACACAAGAAGTAAATAAAACTTAAAAGAATCAAGTATGGAGCACGATCTTTAAACAGAATGAATAAATGTGGTAGACTGCAGCTATGGGGGAAATTAAAAAGTATCATGAACAGGAAACATTAGAATCAGGATAAAGTTTTCATCTTATATTGAGAGGGCAGAAAAAGCCCCACTGAAAAAGAACATTTGAGCCGGTGGCTCACACTTGTAATCCTAGCTACTCAGGAGGCTAAGATCTGAGGATAGAGATTCAAAGCCAGCCCAGGCAGAAAAGTCTGCGAGACTCATATCTCTAGTAAATTACACAGAAAAAGCCAGAAGTGGGGCTATGGCTCAAGTGGTAGAGCGCTAGCCTTGAGCACAAAGAGACTCAGGGATAGTGCTCAAGTCATGAGTTCAAGCAAAAATAAAAGAAAAAAGAACATCATTTGATTAAAAATCTAACTGGCACAGGGAGGGAGCCATGCAGAGATCTAAAGAGGATTCTAAAGAGAAGGAATAGAAAATGCAAAGGACCTGGGGCATAACTGTGGTTGGTTGAGTGTGGGAGATGGCAGGGAAGCTGATGAGACTGGAGTGGGCAAATGTGTGATAGTACTGAGATGAGAGAACTCTAATGAGGACCAGGGCACAGATGAGTGCAAAGCTAGAAGGTGATGATGAGCAGGTCATCCTAGAATCTGATTATCTGAATCTGGCATGTCAGATGCCCTGAACAACTGCCTGAAGAGAGCTGTGGTTCCTACAAGGAGGAGGAGTCTGAGGAGCCATCAGGACTGGAGGTAGCTGGAATCCCAGCACTGGATGTGTTTGCATGTGATGTCTGTAGGCCATGCTAGTGGAGGGTTGGGGTCTGGAGTTCAGAAGAGGACAGTTCCTGGGATAGAAAATTGGGTGCCCATAGTAGCTAAGTCACATTTAAGTTCACAGATAGAGTGAGATTCTAGATGGGGTGTAGACTGAAGATGACACACACACACACACACACACACACACACACACAGAGAGAGAGAGAGAGAGAGAGAGAGAGAGAGAGAGAGAGAGAGAGAGAGAGAGAGAGAGAGAGAGAGAGACTGAACTCTGACCTATCCACCATGAGCAGGTGAAGGAACAAAGGTAGACCAGGAACATCCTGAACAGAAAGAACCCATTAAGAGGAAGAGCAGTGGGGTATGCTGGAAGGCAGATGTAGTATCTCAAGGAGGAATGATTGGTTATTTGTGCTAATTAAGGTAAAGACTAAAAATGATGAAATGAAAACAGGGCATAGCAAAGTGGAGGCTGGTGTTGAGCCTTCTGTTCTGCTTGGAAATCCCATTCAATGTGCATGGATCAGGATTTCCATCTAGTCTTAGCCATGGTGGTGAATATGGGACCTAGGTTTAGCCAATCACAGTGATTCTCATACCTCATGGTAATTAGTCTAGAGATGGGTATGTAGTCCAAGCTTAGTCAATTAGATCCCTGCTTATATATTTAGTCCTGGGCTCTTCTGGACAGAAGGAGTTTTAGGATGAAAGTCCTGGTAGCTAACAGTAGACAAGTGTGTCAACTGGATTCACTGTTTCTTCTTTTTTAATCTTTATTGTAAAGGTGATGAACAGAGGGTTACAGTTACATAGTAAGGTAATGAGTACATTTCTTTTAAAACACTGTTACTCATATTCTCCCACTTATGCCTCTCTATTCCCCACCCCTCCCCTCAAGTTGTATTGCATAGTTCATTTCCAACATAGCATCAAGGGAGTATCATTGTTGCATTAGTTCATCCTTTGTCCTGATGCTTCTGTGATTCCCTTTCCCATACATGGAAGGAATAAACTTATATACAAGATGCAGAGTGAAAGATTTATGATTGTAGCATGTCAGCCTTGTCTGGACCCAGCTCTGCCCAAAGCCCTATACTTCCTCTAACTTTGATATGTTATTTCCCAGCCAAATATTCTTTCATTTCAAGCTAGTTTCAGGCTGCTGTCTCTTGCATCCAAAATGTCCTGACTAATGGCAGCAGATTTTTCTTGAGTCTGCTACCTAGTAGTGGGAGATTTACTCAGGTGTGTGTGTGCATTGCTCTACACGAAACCTGACTCAGGAGCTTCTGCATTCAGGACTATTCTTAGTTGCCTGGCATTGCCTGGAGAAGGCTAGCCTGGGCATGACCCAGCACATCATCTCCCTCTTTCCCTTCCCTTGGGGCAGCTTCTGACGCAGACCTGAAATCTGGGGCAGGTAGGGTTGCAACTAGAGGAGCTAGGGGAAGGCATTGGGTTTCACCCATGACCCAAGAGGTGGCATCATACAGGTCACCAGGGCTGGGGACCAGGCGTTCTTTAGGTGATCATGGAAACTGAAGTGTGTGGGGGGGTGCCTGAGGATCTGAGGCAGGCAGGGTCAGCATCTGGAGAATGCAGACCAAGTAATGGGAGACTAGGACAGGGGAGGTAGTTGCTAAAACAAACTCACTCATTCTGCCGGATGAGGTTTCATTGGCCCAGAGCTGTTGTTAAAGGGCCAGCCCCACATAAACTGCTGTGTCTTGAAGACACTAAGGCACAGCTCTACTTCCTTCAGCTATTGGCTCTGAAGATCCAGTCTGCTACTTTTGGGTGCCTTCTTGTGTGTGTTGGAAAGGAAAGTAATTGTTATTACTGTTCTTCCAGGTCCACATGTATTTTGCTCAGTGTGTTTTGCTCAGTGTGTTTCTCTCTCTCTCTCTCTCTCTCACACACACACACACACACACATCTCTTATTGCAAATGCATGACTCAGCCCTGGGCAGAGCTCTGAGCTGCTCCCAACAGATAAATTATGCTCCAATAACTATCCCTGGTTACCTGCACTACACAAACCAGCAAGACTTCAGAACCCCTGCAGTAGCTGTGTGGCAGAGGATGAAGCCTAAAGCAGTTACCTCATTGCTTGCTGCTGTTTGTGGGGTTCTTTCTGTTCTCGTAGTAGATGGATCTTTCTACACAGAGCCATTTCTTCATCTAACTGACTCTCCACCTTCCTTTCCCTTCAT